ATAAATAACGCGATCTAACCCAAAAGCCTTTATTAAGAGTCTCCGCTCGTTCGCCATCGTTGTCAACGGCGCGCCTGGAATCTTCTCCGGAGGCAGATTTGTCGTGGAATTTTAGCAAATTCTCAGAAGTGTTCACATTTTTTTTAAAGCGCCCTGCATATCCACCTCGATGTGTGTGCACATGCGAGCTTGCGTGTGGATTTACTGTATCCCTTGTTGTTGTTGTACAATCTCACATACGGCTCTCATTCGTTGCATTTACGAACAACCACGTGGACTTGATTCACACCGACATTCAATGTGGACGTTCCACCGCCCTCGTACGGCCTCGCACGCCCTCGCGAGGCAACTGCACGAACATTCGCATCAGCCGCATTGGTGGCAGGACGTGAGACTGTTCAAGCAGCTGCATGACATCAAACGAGACGCACGATATTGGCGCTGCACACAACAGACAATTCGTGTTAACATACTCTTTTTTTCGGTAAAGTCACGTAGATAAAAAAATAAAATTACTAAAAGGAATAATAGAATTTCTTTATTTTCTATTATTACTTTTAGTAATTTTATTTTTTTACCTACGTGACATTACCAAGAAAAACCTAAGAGTATGAATCCTTGCAGTCACGAAAGCTTCAAATCTAAAATTCGTGTTCACGTCTAACACGTACACTCGAAACACAAAAACTTTCTTTAAAGCACAAAGGCTTACTGCGTTTTTTTGTTTAAACGCTTCCCAGCTGAACTTAAAATGGGTAACGCATTAGCAGTAAAGCTCTCGTCCGTCCAAAACACGGGGTCATGATAAATCGAGTCAATCGACGACCCCAAATCAGGACACTTTTTTCATTCTTACCCCAACAGCTAAAAGTGCCTCTCTTTAGGCACTCAGCCGAGAAGAAAGCGGCCGAGTTGATGAAACAAAACGGGGGTTATTGCCCTAAAATGTGTCGACATCAACATCGCACAAATCGACGACCTTTACCGCCTGCCAAAGTGGTGGTGGCCGTCGCTGGTACGCGCCCTGTAACCTGCCACCGAGGTCGCGGCCCCGGCAGCGAGGGTTGGTGGATGCACCGCAGAGAATGTTTTCGCGAGACTCCCTTCTTCCCGCGGGCATCGGGGAGGCGCCGTGCCTCCCGGTTCGTCGGAATGCGGCACAGCACAACGCGGGGAACTCCACCTGCTCCGTCGGTGTGGGATCGAGCGTTTCCCCCTCGCGCCCCCCGGCCACCAGCAGCACCCCTCGCACGCGTGGATTTTCTGTGGGCTGCACCGGTTGCCTCCCACACCGATTAATTGGCCGACAACACCTCGATATGTCGAGGACGGCAGAGATCGGGCAACTATCATTTCTTCTTTTTAGGTTTTTTCGGTAAAGTCACGTAGGTAAAAATTTTAAATTAATGAAAGTAAAATAAAAATCACGACGTTTCGGAGGCAACACAAGCTTCCGTCGTGATTTTTATTTACTTTTATCAATTTAAATTTTTTACCTACGTGACTTTACCGAAAAAACCTAAGAATATGAATCCTTGCAGTCACGAAAGCTTCAAATCTAGAATATTATTTCTTCTATTATATTTTTATTTTTATATTTTTTTTACCTACGTGACTTTACCGAAAAAAACTAAGAATATGAATCCTTGCAGTCACGAAAGCTTCAAATCTAGAATTAATATTATTTCTTCTATTATTTTTTTATTTTATTTTTTACCTACGTGACTTTACCGAAAACTCAGAATATGAATCCTTGCAGTCACGAAAGCTTCACATCTAGAATTAATATTATTTCTTCTATTATATATTTTTTTACCTACGTGACTTTAACGAAAAAAACTAAGAGTATGATGGCACAGCGCCGGCCCACCGTGTGGCTGCTGCTGCTGCCGCCGCCGCCGCCACCATCTTCCAATTCGTCCGTGGTTCCTCCTCGAGCCTCCGAGCCATCCTCAATATACCGCTCGTGTGAGACGCCAAGCTACAAGTTGACATTCTTATTATCTGCAAATGTGCAAACCTGTCTTTGTGAAACCTCAAGAGGACAGGCACACGTTGGAACGCGTTAAATAATCCACTCTCATGCATTATTGCTTTTTCTTGTTTTTCATTTAATACAACCGCACACATGTTGAATGTAAGTGCTCGATGTGAACTATCAATGCAGTTATTCACTTATTCGGAGTGACCAGCTGGAAACATTTTATCTCGGCGAGGAAGGATTGACCGGCTGAAACATCACACACGCACCCACTGACAAGAATTACACTCAAACGCAGCAATTTCCCCAACTGATTTACTTTTTTGCCAAATCATAAAGATGTAACTGGGTCCACAGCAGCCACTATGTAAAGCAGATGTTGCAAGATCCAAGCCTGAGTGAACAGTGGCATTTTTTATCACGACACTTTCGTTACCTGCTGTCAAAGGAGCCAACTTAAAAATAATGTAAATTATTTATTTGGGAAAGTCTCAACGTGCCAGGGGTCGGCAACCAAAGATAACAATCGAAGCAATATTGTTTTCGAATTCGGTAAAAAAAAATAAACCTCAATATTTCAGAGCCCGCATTGCCTGCGAATACTAAAAGGCAGTGGGGCCATAACCGATAAGTCACGAAGCGGTCCTTTAAAGAGCCGCGGGTTTCTGACCCCATGGTCTAGACTCTTCTACCAGGAGGGGCCTAAAAACAATCCAATGTCTGAACCTCAGAAGTCAGTCAGAATCCCCGGGTAAAGCCCACGGAGCTGAAAAGCTCTTTATCAAGTGGGCGACTCATCCAGCGGACAGCATCAACCTCCGCAAGGCTCTTGCGGCAGCTGATGTCTCCTCGGATAAATAAAGGGGGCAACTTATTATTATCATTATAATATCGATTTAAAGCTTTCGTGACTGCAGGGATTCATCTTCTTGGTTCTTTCGGTAAAGCCACGTAGAAGGGAAATAATAAAATAAAAAAACATAATAAAAAACAATTCTCACGACGTTTCGGCCACAACGCAAGCAGCCGTCATCAGGTGAAAAACAGGTCTGTCGGAAAGACAGCGAAAGACAACATTCAGACGCTGTCTTTCCGACAGACCTGTTCTTCACCTGATGACGGCTGCTTGCGTTGTGGCCGAAACGTCGTGAGAATTTTATTTTATTATGTTTAATTTTATTATTTTATTATTTCCCTTCTACGTGACTTTACCGAAAGAACCAAGAAGATCATTATAATACTACGACTCGGCACGGATGGCAGAAACACAGCGAGAAGAATAACAGCGGGGGGGGGGGGGGGGGGGGCACACGAGGGCTGCCAACTCGGGGGACAGGGTTCGTTTTGTCGTCCTTCCGATTGGCCAGGGGTCTGGCTGCGTTCGGTGCGAAAGAAGTTAAACGTCCAGCGTTCGCTCGTGGCGCGCGGGTTCGATCGCTCCCCCCTCGGGAAGCCGCGCGGTGCCTGCGGTTCCATTGAAGAACCGTCGTCGCGTCGTTAATGAAGCTTAAATCGACGGTCTGCGAAATGTAAACAATTCGAACGCGTGTTAAAACAGCCTCTCACCCCCTGAGAGAGAAGGGATTGTGATGGGGTTGGAGTGGCGCGTCACAGTCAAGCTACCGGAGTGACTACAGTTTTTGTCACGCGAACAAAACAACGTGCTTAACCGTGATGGGTTTTTTTCGTCTTCAACGGTTCGATGGGTGCAGAGATCCACGCATATATCCAATATCGCACGTGTAACCATTTCATTACAAATCGCTATAAAATACCACGCCTGTCATTGTCGCTGTTGTTTTTTGTTAATTATACGTCAACATAAAAAATATACACAGCATCGGAGTTCCAGTAGCTTTTGTTTTTTTTAAATAAGCTTTTAACGTCGATATGGCCAACAACCAATTTAGTTTCTCACGCCCACCGCCTTATCCAGAAAATGTGCGAACAAAGCGCAGACACAACATTCAAACAACTTATCGCTCTCGTCAACAGCCGCAATTTTAAATAAATATAATTTAAGCTATTTACACACAGACAGCACATCTTAAAATGACGCCGATTGCGAACTGCTATTCCTGTTAATGGAAAAATAAAATCCCAAAAGTCGCACGACATCGGTACTCGCGAAACAACAATCGCATGCAGTGTGAAACCTTGCATGCGATTATGGAGATGAATTATGCGCTGCTCGTCTCCGAGCCCCGATTCATTTCGAGTATTTGGCTGCTATTAAAGTTTCCACACAATAAGCCACGAACCCGCCAACCCGAGTTCGATTCATTGTTTCAAACTGCCACGGTGGCGAGATGTTAACGACCTTGCGAGGGAGACAGGTCGTGGTTCCGAAACCAAATCTTGACGCCTGTATATTTAGAGTTTGCGTGGCTCTTTCCCCGTGGTCATGTGGAGTTTTGTCCGGGTCCTCCGGTTTTTCCCTCCACATTTAGAATCATTTCCACGCGATAAGCCACTTCGTTGGGCTATCATTTGTGGCCAGGCCACTTCTGAAAAAGAACTATAGAGCTCAAGTGGGCCTTACCTGGTAAAATAATTTTAGTTTTACGGTTTTCTGCACGGTTCATTAACCACGGACACGAGCACCTTACACTGAAGCCACAGTGAGCCGAGTACTTCCCGTGGTTAACCCTCCACTCAGCGCGTGGGTGCGTTCACCAAATCCTCTATTCCACTGCCGCACAGCCGAGTCGTGCCGTGGACGTACCGAGCCAAGCGGGCGAGGGAGAGACACCAGACAGACTTTTTTCCCCACTGCAGAAGCAGAATCCGCGCCGTGCCGCCTGATTTCACTCGCAATGAAAGAGCCGAGACACCGACAACAACTTTCCTTCGTGAGGCACTAAATCACGCGACCGAGCGTCTTGAAAATACGCACGCGGGTGACCCGGCTGACGTCACAATCGACAAAATCCCTTAGCCAGCCCACGGGCCTGCTGGGCTCCGGACGTCTTGTGAGGCCACCGTAATCACAGGCTTGGCTCTGGCTCGGCAGTGGCAAAATAGCCTGGTGGAAAAGCCGCCCCGGGGGCTGCCCCGATGTGGCGGGTGAGAAAAAAACTGGGCATCACTGGACTCGGGACAGCGAGACTGAGATACCGATTCAGCACGCACACGCAAAGACCCATGCACACATGCGCAAAGAACCATGCACACATGCCCGCGCACACAAAGACGCGTGCGCACGTATCTTTCAACATCTTAAATTTTTACATAAAAAACCCACACACACATGCAGAAGCTCAGTTCTAAGCTCTGTCCCTGAAGTGCAATTAGCATCAATCGCTCCGCTTAAGAGCCGAGCATAAATGTTCACGACACACACCCAAGTCGGCTACAACACAATACTTTCTCATACACGAAGGCAAAACAATTTATATTAATGAAAAACAGGAAAATTCTTTCCAGGAAAATTCATTAAGGCTCGGCTGTATAAGGCGAGGTAATTACGTTTCAAACCAACGGTAAGAGGAGATATTATACAAAGTTATCAGTTTAAGCATACCCCATCTCAACAGCGAGGGAATATTGTGACAGCCGACAGGCTATGCTTGACAAAGCGTACGAGTGGAGCGCTAAGATTTTTCACAAGTGCACCGAGGTTGCCAAGGAGACGCGTACACAGGCTTTGGAAATTGAAAAGTTACTCTCTCCCAATAATTTCTCGCCAACTATTTTGTTGGGGCGCCTGCGAGCGGGCTCACGCCTTCGTTGTGCGTGTTTGCGCGCGGGCGGGCGGGCGATGCCGATGGACGTCCGTCCAATCAAATGGTCGTGAGACTGAACAACGAGTTTTCGGAACGAAAAAGCAACAACTGCGATGGATAAACGGGACGAGGTGCATCGCCCCCCCCCCCCCCCGGTTTGCAGCCACGCTCTTCGTTCAACAAGAACCACGCTTTAAAGACCGGAGTGCACGGAGAGAGGGGAGGGGGAGGCTTGCAAGTGAACAGGCGTAGATAAAAACAAATTACGTGCTTTTTTTATTTTCAGACACGCTTCTGCGGCCGTCTGGAACGCTCTTCCTTCCGATGTTAGGAAGCCACCAGGAGCAATGCATTTTTAAATGTAAATTGAAAATGCATTTTATAATACCGTCTTTTCTGTGTTTAATTAGTTTCCCTTCCCCCGCACCTCCTATTAGCACGGTTGGCTACGTACGGTGCGAGAAAATATGTTAAACATGCACATACATCCATGTGGGCATGTAGAATTGGGCGAATGCCAAATGTACCAATTTATTATAACAATTATTATTGTTGCTCAATTGGAACAAACATAGCAAGCAACCCCAGCCCTCGAAGTGCACAAAATCTTGCAGTACTTTCCCAAAATAAATCATAAATATATAATCTATAAAAGTGTAAGCACCATGCGGCTACGTTGCACGGTCGAGGGGCGGGCACTTTTAAAATGTTCGAACTCTCAAATCACGTGAACTGTAAACTAATTTCTTTCGAGCTGCTTGTTTGTGATAATTGTTTTCTTACCCTTCTATCTGGCAACAAAACTGACACCTTTTTTACAAGGAGTCATGTTTGCATAGACCACAATACCTGCGGTCATAATGCAAACAAAAAACATAACTCTGATAATGTGCACTGTCCTTGAAGTTGATTGGTCCACACCCGAGACAGCTTTTCTTAGAGCCTAGTCTCACATGGGTTGGACCAGATGACGCCAAAAGGCGCACAACTCAAAGACAATGCACCATCAGAGTATGAGAGCTCGGGGTAAGCATTAACACCATTGGAAAAAAAAAAGGTGTCAGTTTTGTTGCCAGATAGAAGGGTAAAAAACCAATTATCATATTTTTTACTGGCAAATGAGGTTCCAATGGTGCTGCTTGTTTGTGTTTAGTTTGTTGTCTTTTCCCCCGCTCACCTCCGATCGGCACGGTCGGAACCGTACGGAGCCAACCGTGCCTCTCTCTTTCTCTCCTCTCTCCCGCAGCGCTCGCTGGCTATCGTCCACAGGAAGGTGCGGTGCGCGCCCCCCTTTGGTGACCCCGTCTCTGGCTCCACCATCTCCGATGGGCACGGTCGGCTACGTGCAGTGCGAAAGAAGTTCAACATACGTACATGCGTATACGTGCACGAGGCGGCGATTGAAAGCGATTGGACTGCGCAAGGCGAGGGCGGTGGTGTTGGCAGCGCCGGTTCCTGGCCCGTGTGTTAAAACGGCGCACGCTACAAATTCTCCTGTGGCGACTGCTAAAACGTTGCAGTACGTGTAAACGACACGATATTTAAGAACAAAAATATATACAAAATATTATTTTCGTCGTAAATTCGAACATACCACCGCAGTTGAAACTGTGGCAATGATTCTGTTGGGTCCCCCCCCCCCCCATTCCAGTTTTAACAAAATCTAAAACTCAAATGGATGACAGCGACACAATAACCCACGTAATTGACATGCAGCCACCATTGGACTACGAATCCATCAACCGTCGCCCTTCCATCACGTCCCCTACTCATCAACACACGAACCTGAACACACGTTCACTCGCTGGCAAATATTAAAATCGTTCATCCGACAGCTATTGCAGAGGGCGCCAGGCGGCACGCGAGACCGGCAGTGTTTCGCAGTACCAAGTGCTCATCAGTGCGCCGAGCGACGACCAGAGTGGCAACGCAGGGAGAGGGTGCCGGCAAAACCACAACATTTACACAGTGGACACGCTCAATTCGTGAAACTGTCGAACGACCGATCCGCGTGTCTGCGAGCACAACTTGTGTTCTTGTTCACCGTCAGAATGCTCCGTTTTCCGTTCAGCTTCATCGTGCCACAATGCCCCGCACGCAAAGTTGCAGTGGCGTCTTTGATATCCCCTTCAAAGTTGCAGTGGCGTGTTTGATATCCCCTTCACGCGCATGTTGTACGTTGTACGCACAGCACGCACGTGTAGAGCGGTAGTGCAGCGGTTAGCAACGCCGGTGACGATTATGCGAGTAGGTCCTGGGCCTCCCCCTAGGTCGACTCAGCCTAAAATGTTGCACCTGGTGAGGTGTGTAAAAACATCGCCACACTGGGGGAGGCAAAGGGGGCTGGATATGGTGCTGGCCACCCACCCACCCACCTATCCCCCCTGGCGTTCACAGGTGCTCGGTAACAGCACTTTCCCCAACAGTCTCTTAAGGCTACGCGGGGGGGAGACCTTGGTCTTTGTTTTGCGTGCGTGCGACCGCACGTGTATTTAGTGGATGGGTCCACACGCCGCGTGTTCGCAAGGCGGTGACACAGATTCCCCCAGACTCGGAGACCCCCCCCCCCCTAGGGGGGTGTCATACGTTGGTGCTCGCAGTGTTCTGATCTTGCTGCCTTTGCCGTAGCAACTTATTCCGTATCGAGTCAGTCGGGCCTGCAAAACAAACAGAGCGTTCAAGCATTTATCCAACACGACCATCGAGCAGCAATGCAGTAACAACCCCACGACCCGTCATTACATTACATTATTTGCAATGCCAACATTACCAGAAGTCGTTAAAACGACCGCAAGCGTACGTAGCCAACCGTGCTAATCCGAGGGTGTTACCCACTGGGCATCTGCTTCTGCTGCTGCTGCTGTCGCGATGCGCCCTTGGCGTCCTTGGCGACTCGCGCCCCGTCCACCTCGGACGACCCCGGCCCGCCCGCGTTCTCGCCGCCGCCCCGCCTCGACATCTCGAAGCCCGCCAGGATGGTCATGGTGTCCACCAGCGTGTCCATGTCGTAGGCGCTCGGCACGGGGCGCACGCTGCGGAACACCACCAGGCGCTTGTACGACTTCAGCTCGTGGACGTTGGCACCGAGGAAGAGGAGGATGACCGACAGGTCGCTGGGCAGGCAGCGGCAGGCCCCGGCGCGCGAAGTGCCGCCCCCTCCCCGCGCGCCGAGCACCTCGAAGGACGGCAGCATCTCGTAAACGTCGAGGAAGCTGGGGTCGGGCCACCAGAGGCGAGCGACGTTGTAGAACACAAGCGTGGACGCGAGGGCGTACACCGAGATGTTGATGAGGCTGAGCACGTAGAAGACCCGCACCGACGTCAGCTTGCACTGGATGAGGCCCGGGATGTAGCTGTCGTTGGCCAGCAGGCCCGTCTTGATGTTGCAGCTGAACTCGTCGAGGACGGAGCCCACGGTGTGGTAGAAGACCAGGTAGAGGCAGGACAGCAGCATGAGCAGCAGCACGAGGAGGTTGCGTGCGACGTAGCGCCACAGGAGCTCCCGCGTGTCGCGCTTGCACGCCAGGTACTTCTCCAGCAGCGGGAACTCAAAGTAGTTCTCGCGGCGAGCCCTGAAGGGGGGCGGGGGGGGGGGGGGGGCAACGTGGCGGTTAGTGAGACGGAGACAGGCGGACGGATGGACACTTGTTGTCCGAACATCCCCACGCCTCTGACTTGCAAACAAATTAACACGTGGTAAGCTTTCGCTACCAATATCATGCATCATTTTCAGGGTTAGATCGCGTAAATATATAAATGTGTCGTTGAACCCGCCACCACCCGATACATCCACCAACTAGTAAGGGTTGTCACGTAAACAGAACGTGGCCAATTCGTCACTAGTACAGCACTAGTGTATAGTGTAGAGTATAGTGTAGTGTATAGTAGTGTAGTAGTGTATAGTAGTTTAGTAGTGTAGTAGTGTATAGTAGTGTAGTGTATAGTGTAGTGTATAATGTAGTGTATACTGTAGTGTAGTGGTATAGTAGTGTATAGTGTAGTGTATAGTGCAGTATACTAGTACAGCACACCGGTGTGTTGGAGAGCCAAGCCACGACATTTACAATCTGAGTACGACGTTTCGCCAGTAACTACAACCAGCTTCATCAGGCGACAGCCAGATTTGTGGAGAAGTCCGCCTCTGTTATGGTGGTAAACAAATGATTTGGCTCACGCTGCGTCGTCGGCAGTGGTGCGCAAAGCACAAACATCAACAACAACAAAATGCCAACGCATTTGCTGGTGATTTTGGTGAAAACTTGCTGAACCCCACCCATACTGGACATCTGTGAAAAAAGAGCTTCGAATTCCTCCCGCAGTCCAAACAAAAATTCCGATTCACTCGCTCGGCAGCGGCTCCTCCACCCCGCTGCCTCGCACGTGTCCACCCTGCCCCCTTCTGGCCGACTCCGCTACGTCTCCAAAGCGCCGCGCGCCTCCCCGACACAAGCCTCGTGCCACGAGAACATCGCCATTACCAAATGCGGCGATTTTTTAAAAAATTCTTCACCACCATCATTCTTATTTCAGTCACGCGACGAACAGCCGTTCCCGCGTCACCCCCACCCTCCCCCCCAAGCGTCGTACCGGTCCACCTCGTCGTAGAAGAGATTGTTGGCATCGTCAGAGCGGGGGAAGCGCTGCACGATGTGCTGCGCGAGGCGCACGCTGCGGTTGTAGCTCTTGTCCAGCTCCTCCATGATGAAGACGATATCGGACGAGAGCAGGGGCACCATGGCGAAGCGCCAGAACAGTGCGGGCACGTACATGCAGACGGCGATGAGCAGCAGCGCGTAGGGGAACATCTGCGCCGAGACCAACGACAAACAACGACAGGCGGCTGCTCGCCACGGTGACGTCAACGCGGCGCTTGCGTGCCAGGCTACGTGCACCACCGCCCCCCCCCCCCGCCCGGCCCCCAACCGCACCTCAGAGTAGCACGGTTGGCTATGTTCGGCGCGAAATAGGTTCAACATACATGCAGGAAGCCACGTGAAGTGTCGACGGCTCGCTGCTGCCAGGACGTCACAACCGATGTGCTGAAGCAATAGGCAATTGGAACATTTTGTTCACAGTGACAAACCTTCAAACCTTACTCATCAGCTGTGTCGGGCGGTGATGCCATGTTAATGGACACATTTATGCGCTTGAACCCAGAAACTTTTTTCTTTTTACGAATCGTTCCACTTTCCTTGTTAATCCATCCCCATTCCGATCGATCCCGAACACATGACCGCTAACTTGTACCTCCCTTTCTCCAGTTCTGCTGAATTTCTAATTGCTCGTTTATCGGCTTTCATCATGGGAGAATCCAAATTCATACGGTGATTCTGCCGTGCGATCCCGACGGCGTCATCAGCCACGCGGCCGCCCCGTCTTCGATGGAATATCAACGCCGGCTTTCGTGTGCCGCTGCCCGCGTGGACGTTGAACATTTACGGCAGCGCGACGGCAAACGTGGCGCTTCGCCGAGTTCACGTCGGTGCCCACGGAGCTGTGGTGGGGCACTTCCCGTCCCCTCCACGGGGCCACGCGGAGCGCAGAGCGGCAGTGACGATGATGACGACGACGATGATGATGACGATGATCCGCAGCGGCAGGGCGGCGGGGCTCAGACTCGCCACGGCGAACACAAACCCGTGGAGGCAACGGTGAGGCTGCCTGCTCTGGCCGCCTGGTAACGTCTGTTCTGATGGCAACGCCTACTCCGATGGTAACGTCTGCTTTGATGGTAACGTCTGTTCCGATGGCAACGTCTGCTCTTATGGTAACGTCTGATCCGATGGTAACATCTGTTCCGATGGTAACGCCTGCTCCGATGGTAACGTCTGCTCCGATGGTAACGTCTTCTCCGATGGTAATGTCTGCTCTGATGGTAACGTCTGCTCCGATGGTAACGTCTGCTCCGATGGTAACGTCTGCTCCGATGGTAACGTCTGCTCTGATGGTAACGTCTGATCTGATGGTAACGTGTGCTCCGATGGTAACGTCTGCTCTGATGGTAACGTGTGCTCCGATGGTAACGTCTGCTCTGATGGTAGTACCTGCTCTGATGGTAACCTCTGCTCTGATGGTAACGTCTGCTCCGATGGTAACGTCTGCAGGGCATATCAAAAGCAAATCGTCTTCTGCAAAAAAAATAAATCTCTGCGTATCTTCTTCTATGTAGGGCCGATGTGGGTGGACATCAACAGCTACGATTGTACATTGAGTTGGTGGCTGGGCCAGGTAACTGCTCTGGAGTACCACCGCCCAAAACTCTGTGAAGCAAAGTACTGGGCAGACTCCAGCTTGTTCAGAATGCAGCTGCTGGAGTGCTTAGGGGCCGTCCATAAATGACGTCACGCGATTTTGGACGATTATTGACCCCACCCCCCCTCGTCACACGGCGTCACAAAAAGTCAGACCCCCCACCCCTCCCAAATATAACGTCACAAAGCTCTGCCCCCCCCCCCCCATCCCGAAAAATAAAACATGCTTTAAATCGCTTTAAACTATTGTCATTGTAGTGCGTATTTAATGTGGCGCTGTACTCTGATGTTGCCTTTTGGCGTCATCTGGTCGAACACCATATGAGACTAGACTCTAAAGAAAGCTGTCTCTGGTGTGGACCAATCAGTTTCAAAGACAACGCATAAATTATCAGAGTATTGTTTTTTGTTTGCATTTGACTGCAAGTATTGTGGTTAATGTAAGCATGATTCCTTGCAAAAGGTGTCAGTTTTTGTTGCCAGAAAAAAGGGGAAAACCCCTATTAGTATATTTTGATACTGGCAAAGGAGGTCCCATGATGTAGCTTATCAGAGTATGTTTGTTGTTTGCAACGCAGACATGATTCCTTGTAAAAAGGTTTCAGTTTGTTGTTTTGACATCTTAACACCCGTTTTGTTGCCAGAAAAAGGGGAAAAAACCTATTGACACATTTATATTTATGCGGTCAAACCCAAAAAAAACATTATGGACCTCCTGTATACTAGGCGAGGTAGTGCCCTACGACACCAGTGCCCTGCGCACACCGACAATAAGCACGGTTGGCGACATACGGTGCAAAAGAAGTTCAATCTACATTAGGACCCACGACCTCCGCCAGTCTTCTGCCCCTACTGGCAGCCGTTGCGCAACGTTCTGAAGGATGAGACGATGCCGGAACAAACGCACGTGCCGCCCTCTCGTGCATCCAGAAAGAATTGCGGATCGCCCCCAACTCCCGCAGTCAGAAAATGAAACTAATCCATAAAAAAACACGTTTCAGTTTGCCAGGCAAGTCGTGGATTATCTTGTGAAAATCTAGAGCGGCCAAATATTTTAAACGCGTGACATTGATTCTAAACGTGGGGGGAAAAACCGGAGGACGCTGAGAAAAATCCACGCGACCACGACACGAACATGCAAACTGCAAATAGATCAGCTTCAGGGTCGGGCTCGAACCGACAACCTCCTGCATACGAAGTGAGGGAGTTAACATTTCGCGACCACAGCGCCATTAACAAACAGGCACACCGCTCAAGCAGAACAGAAATGAACTGGATAGTGATTTGAATGCTTTCAGGGATAAGCAGGAGCGCGCAGTGGTAACTTCCTCGTTCTCCCCATGGAAGCCGTCAGCCGTCAAAGCAGGAACTAACCCACGTGGGGGGGGGGGGTGGGGGGCGAGAGCTGCACGGACGCACGGGGGGCTCCGTACCTTGTGCAGAAAGGGCGTGAACAAAACATGGGCCCCATCGTCACTCTTAACTTGCCAGGGCAGGGACGCCCAACAGCACGCGTCCACATAGGTGCCTTGCGGACGCGTGAACGCAACGGGTGGATAGCAGCTGATCCTCGAGCCTACTCGACACGGGATGTGGTGGGGGTGGAGGGGGTGGGGAGGGTGCACGAGCCAAGCACCGGAATGGATAGGTACAGGAGGGCGGTGGTTGGGTGGGCCGGGTGGGGGGCGATTGTTGTGGGGATGGGGAGGGAACACACATTGATGCGGATGGAGCGGGTGGACGGGTGGGTTGGGTGGGTGTTTAGGTGGGTTGATGGATGGGTAGTTGGGTGGGTTGGTGGATGGGTGGTTTGGTGGATGGGTGGGTTGGTGGATGGGTGGGTGGGTTGGTGGGTGGGTGGGTTGGTGGGTTGGTGGTTTTGTGGATGGGTGGGTTGGTCGGTCGGTGGGTTGGTGGATTGGTGGGTTGGTGGCTTGGTGGTTGGGTGGTTGGTGGTTGGGTGGTTTGGTGGTTGGGTGGTTTGGTGGATGGGTGGTTTGGGCGGGCGGGTTTGGTCGCAATGGACATGAGCGATGCGTGGGGGGGCAATGACAGGAGGGGCAGGGTGGGGCAGGGAATGGGAGGGGGGGGTGGAAAAACACAACAGCACACCACAGCGCAACACACGTGAGTGGCCACCACGCGCGTGGGCGGGCGGCGCGCTCTCAGATACCTTGTGTATCCACAGTGACTGTTGGTGCGGAGTCCCATCAGGCTCGGTGCCATGGTGGAGCAGTGACGCCCAACAAAACGCATCGGCGTAGATCGCCTGCCGCCATGAGAAGTTGGCTGGGGGAAAGCAGCTGATCTGAGTGCCTGACGGTGACGGGGGGGGGTGGGGAGAGAGGGCGAGGCATGCACATGGTGGGGAGGGGGGGGTGTGGGGAGTGGGGGACAGAGAGAGAGGAGAGGGGCGATACAGCTGTGCCCCCTCTTGCAGTCATCATCCATGACCTCGAGTTCAAATTTGGCGCGAATTTTACGACAAAATCGACGGGCGGGCTGGCTGGCGGACGGCCTGCGCACGAGCCAGTCTGGTTTACGCTGCTGTCGAGCGCGTGCTGTGGGCCCCGTTGACGAGAACTGGAAACTGAACGGCGCGCGGGGCAATTTGTTCGTAGGAACAGGGATGAGAAAAACGCACGATTCTGCGACCCAGAAACAGAATTTCCACCGAGGGTCCAGCGTGCGTAAAGATCGGGAAGGCGGTGTGGGGTGGGGCGAGAACGTGACTGGATGGCGTCGACCACGATACGGAAGAATCGCGGTGAACAGCGCTTTCGGTGCATGCGTAGCCAGCAAGCTGTGGATATACGAATGTTTACAAACGTCGTACGAAAAAAATTTTTATTACGTGCGTTACTGCCAAAATGAATTCATGTTTTAAAATTATTTGCATCGTTTCACAAGAATTTCACAAGAATTTCACGTCAAGACGTACAGGTTATTAATTTCCCATTGCAGCCTCCAAAAGTGTTTTGGTGAAAATGCCACAATTAATTCGATTCAGCGGTGCACAAATAACAACGCGGCCTTTATCTCTCACACGCAACAAAACTCACACTGAGGGTAATCGGAAGCGATGGCTGGGCACTGAATTGACGAGAGGTTAATGCGCTAAAAAAAATACTCAAATTAAAATCATAAGGTCACATACCCGACAAGCAATTGTTGAAGAATGTACTCCGTGTGCTAACAAATTAGTGATACTAATAATGATTTGTTTTTGATAGAGCAACCTTCTACACCGGGGCGTCTCGGCGAGCGCTTTACACGCGATAATCGACTTGCATCACATCTCAAAACATTTCAAAGGGCACCCCCAGGGGTAGCTATCCCCGTGGGCACGAGGCTTCTCAGCATCTGGCCAGCTCACGAGCATTAGCCCCGCCGGTAAGGGGCGACGTTTGCCGCTGTGTGTAGTCCCACTTCAGTGGTAGGGTTAAGTAACTGGACGGGAGGATTGGGCTGCGGTTAAATCGGCACACTTAATATAAAGTGGTAACATCAACGATTTTAGTCAACATTAAACCAAGGGCGAGAATCGCTGCCACGATGGCCGTGCGCGACTGCCGTCGACGCATCGTTAAAAAGCCACCGTCAATTGCGTTGATCACTCCGGAGGCAGAAGCTGTTTGTCGACGAAGCGTTGCGCTATGTTAATCAACGGTGACTACGGCGAGTGGACGGAAGGTCGTTGGGCGCGACGACGTCACGGGAGAACGCAGCGCACCGAGGAAGGCCAAACGTGGCTACTGGCCGTCTATCTACAACAAGGGTGGGGAACGTCCGGCCCGCGGGCCGTATAAGGCCCGCAAAATCATTTGGTCTGGCCCTGCCAAGGCAATAAATCTAGGAGCTTTTTTAATAGCAACGTAAATGTAATTTTGTGCGGCCGGCAAATGATGTTATAAATATCCAAATGGCCCTTGGCAGGAAAAAGGTTCCCCACCCCTGATCTACAGGTTCGTCCTTATGCCCAGTGACCCACATTTAATTTAATTCTCTAAAACTTAATATTTTTTTAAGTAAGGTTTAATTTGAACAGAAATTAACATGCAAATGAATAAAAACATGTTATGGGCCAATTAATTGAGGGGTGGGGGGGGGGGGTCACAAGCCACCTGGACCACCTTGTACACAAAAATATTACCCGGGTTCAACGACTAGCTGAGCTGACTACTATTTCCTTTTTTCACCAGGTGAGGCCCACTGCCATATTTGGCCAGTGGGAAGAATTTACGCCGGCTCTCACACCACCAACACTCGATAACCAAGAGATAATTTCGTTATACAGTGGTACCTCGGTACACGTCGTTAATTCGTTCCAGACGGTAGGACTTATACCGAAAATGACGTAGACACCAAACGAATTTTTCCCATAAGAAATAAAGGGAAAAGAAATAATCCGTTCCCGAGTATAAGTAATAATATTTTATGTGGCATATTATACATTAATGGGGTTGTATAAAATAATTTAGACACTACTTATTACTAAAATGCATACATAAATTAAAATAAAAGCATGAATAAATAAAAATTAATTGAAATAAAAATAAAAATTTCCATCATTTAACCTTGCTGAGAGGAGTTGATAGCCTACGAAGATGGTGGTGAGGAAGGGAAGGAGGAGGAGATGCTATTTTTTGGAAGGAGAGTCCCCTTAAAACTACTGTACAGGCAGACTGAGGAGCGGCGCTTTGTCTCAGTCGCGAACGGGGTCTACGCGGGTACGCGGTGACTCATCCCGACCCATACAAGTTCTAGAAAGCGCGTCGTATCCCAAGCAAGACGTCATATCCCAAGACATTTTTTTCTCGTCAAACCACGACGCATACCAAATTCGACGTATTCCAAAGTGGTCGTATACCGAGGAATGACTGTATTTCACCCGTGTGTAATTTACTTCTTGATCATTTCCGTACAGTTCTGCCTTGATACCGAACAGCTCGTTTTACCGCGGCAGGCGTGCACAGCGGGAGGCAGCGAGGTGTGTGTGTATGTGCGCGGTGAGGTGTGTGTGCACGGTGAGGGGTGTGTGTGCGCGTGGCGACGAAGTGTGTGTGTGTGTGTGTATGTGCGCACGGCGGCGAGGTGTGTGTGTGTGCACGGCGGCGAGGTGTGTGTGTGTGCACGGCGGCGAGGTGTGTGTGTGCACGGCGGCGAGGTGTGTGTGTGTGCACGGCGGCGAGGTGTGTGTGTGTGCACGGCGGCGAGGTGTGTGTGTGTGCACGGCGGCGAGGTGTGTGTGTGTGCACGGCGGCGAGGTGTGTGTGTGCGCACGGCGGCGAGGTGTGTGTGTGTGCACGGCGGCGAGGTGTGTGTGTGTGCACGGCGGCGAGGTGTGTGTGTGTGTGTGCGGCGGCGAGGTGTGTGTGGGTGCACGGAGTCGAGGTGTGTGTGCGCGGCGGCGAGGTGTGGGTGTGTGCACGGCGGCGAGGTGTGTGTGTGTGCACGGCGGCGAGGTGTGGGTGTGTGCACGGCGGCGAGGTGTGTGTGTGTGCGGCGGCGAGGTGTGTGTGTGTGCACGGCGGCGAGGTGTGTGTGTGCGGCGGCGAGGTGTGTGTGTGTGCACGGAGTCGAGGTATGTGTGTGTGTGCGGCGGCGAGGTGTGGGTGTGTGCACGGCGGCGAGGTGTGTGTGTGTGCACGGCGGCGAGGTGTGGGTGTGTGCACGGCGGCGAGGTGTGTGTGTGTGTGCGGCGGCGAGGTGTGGGTGTGTGCACGGAGTCGAGGTGTGTGTGTGTGTGCGGCGGCGAGGTGTGGGTGTGTGCACGGCAGCGAGGTGTGTGTGTGTGCACGGCGGCGAGGTGTGTGTGTGCGGCGGCGAGGTGTGTGTGTGTGCACGGCGGTGAGGTGTGTGTGTGTGTGTGCACGGCGGCGAGGTGTGTGTGTGTGCACGGAGTCGAGGTGTGTGTGTGTGCAGCGGCGAGGTGTGTGTGTGTGTGCACGTCGGCGAGGTGTGTGTGTGTGCAGCGGCGAGGTGTGTGTGTGTGCACGGCGGTGAGGTGTGTGTGTGTGCACGGCGGTGAGGTGTGTGTGTGCGCGCGGCGGCGAGGTGTGTGTGTGCACGGCGGCGAGGTGTGTGTGTGCACGGCGGCGAGGTGTGTGTGTGTGCACGGCGGCGAGGTGTGTGTGTGTGTGTGTGCGCGGCGGCGAGGTGTGTGTGTGTGTGTGTGCGCGGCGGCGAGGTGTGTGTGTGTGCACGGCGGTGAGGTGTGTGTGTGTGTGTGCGCGGCGGCGAGGTGTGGGTGTGTGCACGGCGGCGAGGTGTGTGTGTGTGCACGGCGGCGAGGTGTGGGTGTGTGCGGCGGCGTGTGTGTGTGTGCGGCGGCGAGGTGTGTGTGTGTGCGCGGCGGCGAGGTGTGTGTGTGTGCGGCGGCGAGGTGTGTGTGTGTGCGTGCGGCGGCGAGGTGTGTGTGTGTGCACGGCGGCGAGGTGTGTGTGTGTGCACGGCGGCGAGGTGTGGGTGTGTGCACGGCGGCGAGGTGTGTGTGTGTGCGGCGGCGAGGTGTGTGTGTGCGGCGGCGAGGTGTGTGTGTGTGCACGGCGGTGAGGTGTGTGTGTGCACGGCGGCGAGGTGTGTGTGTGTGCACGGAGTCGAGGTGTGTGTGTGTGCAGCGGCGAGGTGTGTGTGTGTGCACGTCGGCGAGGTGTGTGTGTGTGCACGGCGGTGAGGTGTGTGTGTGTGCGCGGCGGTGAGGTGTGTGTGTGCGCGCGGCGGCGAGGTGTGTGTGTGCACGGCGGCGAGGTGTGTGTGTGCACGGCGGCGAGGTGTGTGTGTGTACGGCGGCGAGGTGTGTGTGTGTGTGTGTGCACGGCGGCAAAGTGTGTGTGTGTGTGTGTGCGCGGCGGCGAGGTGTGTGTGTGTGCACGGCGGTGAGGTGTGTGTGTGCGCGGCGGCGAGGTGTGTGTGTGTGCGCGGCGGCGAGGTGTGTGTGTGTGCGCGGCAGCGAGGTGTGTGTGTGTGCACGGAGTCGAGGTGTGTGTGTGTGCGCGGCGGCGAGGTGTGTGTGTGTGCACGGCGGCGAGGTGTGTGTGCACGGCGGCGAGGTGTGTGTGTGTGTGCGCGGCGGCGAGGTGTGTGTGTGTGTGTGCGCGGCGGCGAGGTGTGTGTGTGTGTGTGTGTGTGCACGGCGGCGAGGTGTGTGTGTGTGCGCGGCAGCGAGGTGTGTGTGTGTGCACGGAGTCGAGGTGTGTGTGTGTGCGCGGCGGCGAGGTGTGTGTGTGTGCACTGCGGCGAGGTGTGTGTGTGCGCGGCGGCGAGGTGTGTGTGTGTGCACGGCGGCGAGGTGTGTGTGTGTGTGCGCGGCTGCG